AGTGGCGGAAACGGGCTTCCATACATACGCAGACATGAACCCTGGGCAGAAGAGTAGGTCATGTGTACAGTACACACCCATACTTGTTTCTGTTATTTTCTGCGAGTGCAAGATAAGCACTAGAATCCAGCAGAGCTTTTCTAAAATTTAGAAAATTTACAGTGAATACATGTAATGTATTCACTGTAAATGGAAACATTTGTCTGTTTCTGCAAAATTATAGTACACTAATACACAAATTCAAATTAGTATAAAATAAATAATAAAATCAGGGAAAAGAAAAATTTCCAAAACAATTTTTTTCAAAAAAAAACGTTAACAAACACAGCAGGTCTGTGTGTGGTGATTATTATTATTAATTTTGTTAAAACATGTTAGTTTTGATTCAGAGGGAAGAGAATGCAGAAATTTGACACTTCATAATAAATTTACTCAAGTGACAGTAAAAAGTATTGTAGACTGAATTTAAGGGAACTGGGCCCAGCGCTGAAGACAGTTTGGTGCTCTATCCGGTACAGAAAACTCCTCTACTAATGCAAATTACAATGCTTTATTTAATTTCCCTTTGGGATCAATAAATTATTTTTTGAATTTGAATTAGTTGGTAATCCATACACAATAGGTTGAACATGTCTCCATGTTGTTCCCAAAAAATTAGCACAAGTTTACAATTTTCAAATACTTGAATGTTATTTCTATTCAGAAAATTCCAAAAATGTTAATACAGTTCATGTTATATACAAAGCAAAACATACAACATACATTCTTTAAAAAAAAATTTAAAAGTATTTTGGTCCCCCCAAAACATTATGCCCTGGGCTGCTGCCCCTGTAAGCCCTTTCTAAAGTCTGGCCCAACTTAGACTAGACTTTTTTAATGTGATGACTTAAATAGTTGTTGAGTTATATTCCAAATATATTTATACCTTCACATTTGTCGACATGTCATTTAAAAATTCAAATAAGTTTTGCAGAAGACCTAAGAGGTTGGCTGCATAAAATTCTGATTAATCTAAAACTGTTTCAAATTTCTAATGCAAAGCATACAAATAAAGTTTATGCAATACTTTGCGTCACCATTTTGAATTAAAGCTCACAATAAATAAATCATTGTGGTTATAAGTTATTTAGATTTAACCATTCATTTGCATTGTTTTTAAACCAAGAGGAACAATAAGTAAAAGAAAAAGACCTTAAACCTAACCAGTTATTTCAGATGATAAGCTAGCTTTACCTCATTTACTAACAGAATGACTTTATAAACTACAAGCTGAAAGAAATCCAAATAAACATTTGAAAATAAAAGTAGCAGCCATGTTGCATTTTGAGTAATAAATCAGACTTGTTTTGCAGTTAAACCATGTTCTTTTGTTCTTTGTGACAAAACACATTCTACTGCTGTGCAGTTCAGTTCAAAGGTGGAAATGTGTGGCCTATTGGCCAAAATGTTTGCTGAGGTTGTCATGGCTATAAACACATTGAGGGCTTCTGGACTGTAGCATTTATAGCAACTGAAAGGTTATAGTCTGAGACATCTGCTGGAACACAGGAGACACAACACAAAATCTCTTCATCATCATGACTCAGCTTATCTCCACTGATCACACTGGTTTTACTGGTTTCATTTTTCATTCATAAAAATGGCCTTCTTTTGCCTATGCATAAGTAATAGCCCATTTCCCTCAGTTTCCATCTTTGCTCAGTTTGATTGCTTTAACACTCTGGACTCTACAAATATATGGACTTCTGTTCCATTAACGCTGAATGAGTAAACAAGCTTTAGAGCAGTGATATCTTTCTAATAACAGCATCTGGTGCTTGTGTATTCCCTGCAGGCTTTGCTTTGCCCTCTGGACACCTGTTTATTTATTTCACAGCACAGGAACACCAGTCTGTTACTGCTGCACACAAAGCAAGACACATATAGCTGCAAGATTTTCCACATTTTATTAACTTAAATCTTCTATATTTACTGGTTTATTTGCGACAGATTAACAAAAAGCAACACATTATTTTGAGGTGTCTTATGAAACTTGGTTTTCAAAGATTTTTACAGTTTTTCTTCCATAGAAAGCCTCTGGAAGAGCGTGGCCAGATGAGTGGCTCTCAATAATACAAAGTTTGGACTTGCAGCATTTAAAGGACATGTTTATGCGGGTTTACAGCTATTAATGCTAGCATGTAGTTAGCTGAACATAAAGACAAAAGACAATCAATTAGTTTATTTGTACAGTTCAGCAACAAGACAGTTCAAAGTGCTTTACATCATAAAAACACATAAATAAAAAGTCATAATCATACAGTCAACAATTTCAGGAACCAGTAACACACATTACATTTTGCTGAGTGACATCATCAAAAACATCAAAACACATCATATGTGTATGATGTGTAAAATAGGTTAGCTATTTTTTATAGCCTTTACACTAGCTATGAAAAATAGCTAACTTAGCTTATCTTAAAAATAACAAAACTAAGACTCCCTAAAACATTTGAAATTTTGTTTTACATAAGGGTTAATATCACAACATACAAGCGTTTCATTTGGTCAATATTGACAATTATTGATTAATTTTTTTGTTTTAAATATCTGAAATACAGCCAAACTGGTTTATTTCAGATATTAGTTTTATCCAGTTTTCACTTCACACAGTTTTTTTGTTTTTTATTTTTAAGGAGCTTTATGAGACGTGGAAGTAAAATCTGAAACTGCTGCTGCGCAGGTCACTCAACAGGTTGTTGCTAGGTAACCAAAGAAGGAGTGGGTTGCTAGGTAACTAAATATTCGACAGTGAGTTGATTCCAACAACATGGATTTTTTTTTTTTTTTTTGCATTTACTTGCAGAAGTATTGCATTCCTTTGCAATAATGTATTGATTAGTTTATGCGGCATAAATGAATACTTAGTCTTTCTTCTCTATTGTAAGGTTTTGATTTTTCCATGTCTGTTAATATCTCATTTGTTGATGAAGTTTTACATGAAGAAGAAAAAAAGAAAAAAGGAAAGAAAGATACAGCAAAACTATTTGGTGTGGGGTACCCCAAGGTTCAATCCTAGGACCCCTCTTATTTAATATTTATATTCTCCCTCTAGCTCAGGTCATAACAGGAAATAATATTAGCTACCACAACTATGCGGATGACACACAGCTCTACATTATGATGTCACCAGGTGACTCTGAACCCATCCAATCACTGAATAAATGCTTAGAGCAGATAAATGTGTGGATGTGCCAAAACTTTCTCCAACTGAACAAAAATAAAACTGAAGTCATTATTTTTGGACCTAAAGAGGAACGATCTAGAGTCAATGCACAGCTTCAGTTATTACAATTAAAACCTAGCGATCAGGCCCGAAACCTGGGAGTAGTGATGGACTCGGACTTGAACCTCCAGAGCCACATAAAGACAGTAACAAAATCGGCCTTCTATCACCTGAAGAACATCTCCAGGATTAGAGGACTAATGTCTCAGCCAGATCTAGAGAAACTCATTCATGCCTTTGTCTTTAGTCGCATTGATTATTGCAACAGCATCTTCACAGGCCTGTCCAACAAATCAATCAAACAGCTGCAACTGATCCAGAATGCTGCTGCTCGCGTTCTCACTAGAACCAGGAAGATAGAGCACATAACACCAGTTTTAAAGTCCCTCTTCTGGCTCCCTGTAGCTCAAAGAATAGATTTTAAAATACTGTTGTTAGTTTACAAATCACTGAACGGTTTAGCACCACAATATATCAAAGATCTGCTGTTGTTGTATCAACCTTCCAGACCTCTCAGGTCTTCTGGTTCTGGTCTGCTCTGCATCCCCAGAACCAGAACCAAGAGAGGAGAAGCAGCTTTCAGCATCTATGGACCAAAAATTTGGAACAAACTTCCAGAAAACTGTAAAACAGCGGAAACCCTGACTTCCTTCAAATCTCAAGTAAAACGCACCTGTTTAGAGTTGCATTTGAAATGTAATATGTATGAATTTGATTTTGTGGATATGTATGTAATTTTTTTTTTTTTTTTTTATTTTTTTTCCTGTTGTGGGCAACGGAGCCCGGCGAATACCCGTGGTTAAACGGACGGCGTAGTCCGGCGGTAACAGGCGCTTAAATTCCGTGTCAAAGGGAAGGGGGAAGAAAGGGAAGAAAGAGGGGGAAAAAAAGAAAAAAGAAAAGAAAAAAAAAAAACCTTGGTATTTTATTCTATGTTGCATGCCTTTGTGTTTTCTGTTTATGATGTAAAGCACTTTGAAATGCCTTGTAGCTGAAATGTGCTATACAAATATAATTTGATTGATTGATTGATTGGACTACTTTTGAGTTATTTTCATGGGGTAATAAAATCATATGGCAGTTTAAATCGTGTCCTTTTGTGTTTGCAGTCTGAATGGTTAATAATGGTTTTTTTCATGTACAATACCATCCCAACCTTACAAAAAATGAACACGCATTAATAGATCACTTTTCAATCTGTTTTTGCACCAGAAATAAAATTTATAAATGCGTTTTCACTGAGACTCTTTGTATAACTACGTACTTTTTTACTGTACATAAAATACACACACAACACAACAAAAGAAAAAGAAAATAGCTTGCAAAAAGTTTGGATACCATTGGATTAATGCATTTATTCTCCCTGCATTAAGAAGTTGCATTCTACCTGCACACCACGTGAGGGCGCTAGAATCATCCAAATCAAACCCACTGCTGGGAATAAAGGGAATAAAGGAAAACAAAGTAAAAAAAATTAACATAATAATTACTTAATTTCACCTCTACATCTGTAATAAACACGTTTATTTAAATAATTTAGATGTGACCTTAAATAAGACCAGATTTTGTTTCTTTCGTTGTTTATTTGTTTTGTAAGGTTTTTAAAGTACAAAAAAATAGACACTGAGCGCAATTAATTCACAGTGTATTGTTAAAATCAGAGATAATAGCTTTATTTTATTGGTAAAGCTCTCTGTTGATTCCTCTTTTGTTTCTCCCCAGATTATGAGTCTCAGAGGAGCGGGACGGATTTTCTGCCTGCACCATTTTTCCTCCCTCTCCCCCCAGCAACCCACACCTTCCCTCTCTGCTTCTGCTGCCTATTACTCACCTCGGCTCTGCAGCATCTTCACATGAGTCCAGCCGAGCTTGTTCCGGTTCTGGTTCTGGTTTTGGTGGGGAACGTCATGGTTCGAGCGGCGCCCAATTTACTGTGAGGAAAATGTGCGGAACGCGTCGCCTGGGATAAACAAATGGTCGCTTCGGATTGCCAGGATTCATGGAGACAACACAAGACTGCGCCTGTTACAAAGTTGTGCAAGGTAAGACCGGAGAGACTGAGCATTCACCGGCTGTTCCTGCACCCATTTGGTAAAAACTGACACATGTCAACAAGGTCTGTGAAGCGATTCCCTAACCTTTACTTCAACTTATCCAGAATGTGATCAAATATTCATCAGTCAGTTCTTGCTTCCTGTCGCTGATAGTTTATAACAAGAAAGAAATGTAATAATAAACAGTCACTTTAGCCTTGAAACTAATTATATTTTGTAATTTTAACGCCAGTGATAACAGAAGGTTTAGTCATTTCCATTTAAAGTAAAGGTCAGGGCCGGTCCGAACCTCTTTGGGGCCCTATGCAGATTTTCACCTGAACCGACATGTCAACACCAGACGCACCAAACCTGCTGTTTGTGTGCAACATCCCTACTATTATTAGCATAATGTGTAATTAATTAACTTACATCACAGTGATGTTATTATGATTATTTATTTTAACCTTACAGAAGTAGCAATAAAAAAAAATGACATTTTAAAAACAGTGGTACTTCAGTGTGCCATGTGTGTAACAATGACTGAAAATATTCGCCAATGGAACTAAAAAAAAAAAATCAATAATAAAGAATTATTCACTTAAAACAAGCTCTTATGTTGTTCTGAAAAGTTGCTTGTAAGTTAGTTTTGTTTTGTTTTTTGGGTTGGTAAGATGAAATGTTTTTGCAGTAAACACTGTTCTACTCACCTGGGATCTTTAGTTGGGTTGGGATTTTCTCACGACTGCTGCTCATTTTTGAAAGCTTGCAAATAATACAGTGTCTTTACTTTTGTGTGCTGTGAATTGTTAGACATTTTATTTCTTTATGTTTCCTCCAGCAAAAGTCTGGGAAAGTCCCAGGAAAAAATGCCATTCTGGAGGCGAAATACATATGTTGGTAAGACACATTTGTTTGTGTTTATTCTGTTTTCTGACAGAAATATTCCTGATGTTTAGAAATCAGGCATTTTGCAGCCTGTTTTCTGTTTTTCGGCTAAAAATTTTAAACCAGTTGTAGGGGTGGGTGATACAGACATATAATTTTGTCATGATATTTTATGATTTTATAGTGACAATGATAAAAATCATGGTGAAAAACTACTTATTACGTCTTTTTTTGTTGTAACCGTAAGACACAGTGAGCATAGCGCCCTTGAAAAATGTTCACCGTTTTAAGTTGACTTCATCAGTTTATATTTGATTTATATCATTAAACTGCTCACAAAAACTGCATTTAATCATATTTTTACATTTACAGATATTTGTGGAACAAATAATAAAAATCAAATTTCCAATATGTCGAAATATATTGCTTTATCAAAATATATCGATAAAGCAATAAATCAAGATTTTCAGAGAAATGTTCACAATAATTTTCACAATAATTTTTTTTTACATGGTATGTTTGCCCAGAATTTTCACAACAGAATAACACAAATTCAGTTAAAAATATATATTTGTCCCAAACAGAATTTAATATCGTGATAACTCATATAAACCAAATCACCAGTAGCAGTCAGTCTTCCAACAAATCTAAAGAAGCCTCTGACTGAAGACTGTAAATGTGGAATATTCTACTGCAGGACCAGAAACTGTCCACTTTGATTCCTCTGGGACAATTATCTTTTCTTTTAGATTATCTTTTAATTCTTCTAGTTTAGGATGAAACTGAAGAAATAAAGTCAAAAATGTTTCCAGAAGCATTTATTGCATCATTTTACTGAGACCTGCTCAGACTTGCAGGCATCAAGGGACATTTCTTTGGAAACAAAGAGGAAAAATTACAAAATAAAAACACAAACTAACTTGATTTAACATAAACTGCATGCATATGGATGTACAAGAGGCCAGAGTGATCAAGCCAAGCCGGTTTGTTAATAATTAATCAGTGTAGTAACTGACAGCTGATCTCAGTCAATGTGTGAGATCATCTGTCTTGTTGTGGCTTGCTGCAGGTACGTTATACATAATTGAGCAACAGTTTAAGCTTGTCTTTGCACAGCAGGTCTATCTTATGTGAAATGTCAGAAAACGTTCGATAATTCGACTGTAAGGTTGTGGCTAGTGTTTCTGACTTTAGACATAATTGAAAAAGATGGGGCATGATAATGCCACTCAACTGAACACAGAGGGAAATGAATAGTTAACTTGTTACAGAGTTAGTGGGGTAAGATGTGCAGGTAGAGACAAGTTCAAGATGCCACAGGTATTTTCTCACCTTTGTGTTACCAAATTCCTGATGTCTCTACCAGCCAAGTCCGTGAGGCGTCATTTCCAGTAAAAACTATTAGCGTGGCAGGACTCATAAAAGCCTCTACATGTAAGATAGATGAAGAGACAAATAAAACAAAATGTAATAAAACTATAAACATTGTATCTCTTTTCTAGTTTGGGTTTCATCAAACAAAAATACAAAATGTGACTTTAAAAATCTGATTTCATTAATTAACTGCAAAAAGGAAATATATACAGACCAACCCGGTCGTGTGTTAAAAAGTTGCCTGTGTTGTTTTTGGGTTTGTTTTTGAACAGCCTGGTTAAGATTGAAGATTTAAATCAGGTTTAAATCCAGGCAGCTTTGACTAGGCCACTTTTATTTTTAGGAATTGTGAGACTTTGCTTTGTTTTGTTTTTGGTCACTAACAGTTGCAACTCTCTCCTATGGTTGCCTTTATTTTTATTTTTATTTTTTGCTCAGCATTATGGTCATTTCCTGGTTGATTAAAGTGTTTGATTATCATTGGATTATGAACTTTGATCCTGACACGAGGCAAGGCTGACCTATAGCTTCAGTTCTGGGCTGTTCTGGGTTTTGTTGTGAGTTTTAGGTTCAGTTTGGTTGGTCACCTGTTCCATATTTTATTCTTTTGAGCATAATAACTAAAAAGAAAAAGCTAAATAATGAAACTGAACTGTATTATTTAACTTTTTCACAAAAATCCAGTTTGATGTGGGTAGCCATACATCAAAATAAAACATAATTAAATCATGACTTTGTTGCAAAACTACTAGCAGACAACTGCAGATAGCCTGACTAATCAGCTAATATTAGCTTGATATACTTGTGCTACTGCAGGTAGGTATTTATTGAATAGTGTCATTTATGTCCCATCATAATGCAAATTGTAATTTATTAGTCTTGATAAATTCCAATTAGACTTTAAACAAAACTGTGAGTGTTATTGGAAATGTTATTTTCATTATTTTCTCCCAACATGAGTTCCATAAATCAATGCCCAGTTTCTATTTGACGATATGATAAGCAGCATATATTGTGCTTCATATTTGTTGGTCACACACCAGATTAAAATTCAGTGTTTTTCCTCTCAGCAAGAAGGTTTATTGTGGTATATTCGTCAAATAAAAGTGTTAAAAATGACTAATATTTGTCATATTTGCTGTGAATCTAACCCAGTTTTCCCATTAAAAGGCTCTCTGTGGAGTAATTCCTCTTTATGAAAGTTCATCTCCAGATTTCTAAATCACCAGTTAAAACAATATGCAGGATATTAAACAATAAATCAGTATGGAGCAAATGCACTGCTGCTGATAGCTGATCCTACTGTAAAGGATAAAATTGCATCTAAAAATGCTTCGTCACTTCATGTGAGACGGTTCAAGAACTGGAGGTGCAACTTAAATTCTGAAGGACTGGAATATTAAAATAACCAGAAAGCTGCTGGACAAACACATTTTTCTGCTTCCTCCATGGAAACTAAGCTGCTGAATAATGTGTTACCCTTAAAGCATATGTTGAACTTTGTTAAAAAGTTTGTTAATTTGGGCCAGAAGGTTACAAAAATTCATCTTGAATACTAATATATTTTTCAATAAGCAAAAAATCAATTAATCGCATGATAAATTAAAACAAGCTCAATCATTTCCATTTGCAAAATTGTTTTTCTCTTGTCTTTCTGCTAAAGATTGGATGACAAAATTGAGCAGATTGAGCGCTTTGGTCTCAATTAGCTTGTTTTTAATTAAGAGGAACTTTGTTGACATTTATTTTGTTTATTTATTTAGTATATGTAAAAAATCTTACATTTCCAATGTGGTATAGATGAGAAATTACAGTTTATTGACATTTATTTAAAACAAGCTTCTTGCTTAAAAGTTACTTTTAAGTTAGTTTGGTCTTATTTCAAGTTAACTAAGAAACTAGACCAAAAATACTTGGTAAGATTTTGTGATTTTGGTCAAAAATGGTCCAAAACAACAATATTATCATTTATCACAATAATTTCTTGCCCAACAAAATGTGATATTGTGGCAGACTCTAAATGTGTATCCTGTAAATATTTGGTTCTCTGTGTAATTTTTGACGGTGTGTAAAAATATTAAACTTGTGCACCTATGTCTTGTACTTCAGGTTGTATCATTTGTCTCTCAAAGAATAACACTTCAAATTGATTAATCTGGGATTAATCGATTAATTGGGTAAAAAATTAGCACATTTTACAGATTTTTCATAGAACCAGTTACATATTTTTTATACAATATTGGAAATATTGTATAAAGATATTGATGTAAATAAATAAATGCCTTTTTTAAATGATAAAATAAATGTTTTATTACCTAAAAGGCAATAACAAAAATTTCCTTTGGTGAATTTGAACCAGGTGAAGCTAAAGCTATTTTAGAGTTTTAGGTAGAACATATTCTCAGATAAGTGTTTTCTTTTATCTTAAATGCAAAATGTATATATACTTTGTACAGTTTTGTCTTAATTTCTGCTCTGAATATGTAATGAATATGTTACTAAATTAGTTTATAATTATCCCAATAATTGATTGATTATTGGGAAAATATTCATGTTTTGAGTAAAACTGTGTGTTTTATGACTGCAGAGAAGGAACGCCGTGTCAAAGCCAATGCACGAGAATACAATGAGAAGTTCTCATACGCCGTAAGTGAATCTTACAATTGCTTCAGTCTTTGCTTTTGCCTTTACCCACAGCGGAAGCCCGCAGGATTTAATCTGTATTGTTTGTTATTTGTTGTTGTTGTTGTGCAGAACAATCACATTAAGACTTCAAAGTACAACGTCTTCACCTTCCTGCCCATCAACTTGTTTGAGCAGTTCCAGAGGGTGGCGAATGCTTACTTTGTTGTACTGCTGATCCTCCAGGTAAGGCAGACCGTCTGCTCGTTAGTGGGGTTCCACAAGGTTCAACCCTGGGTCTCCTCCCATTTAATATCTACAAGATAGCTCAGGTTATAACAGGAAAGAAGATTAGCTACCATAATGCACAGTTCTACATCAGGTAACTCATCCAGGCATTCAACAGATGCTTGGAACAGAGCAATGTGAGGATCTGCTAAAACTGAGGTTATAATCTTTGGACCTTCTTTATAGTTAATCCCAGAAGTCTCGTCTCTGTCCTGGTTCACAACCATCGTGCCTTTGGTTTTGGTGCTGGTGATCACAGCTGTCAAAGATGCCACCGACGACTACGTAGGATTATGATTCCCCTCCTCACTCATGATCCATCAACCCCAAAAGAATTACTTTTATTATTTTTAAAAATCTCTTTGAAATTTCAGTTTCGACACAAGAGCGATCGGCAAGTCAACAACCGCCAGTCTCAGGTTCTCATCAGAGGAAGGTACTTCTGTCAGATCCTGTCAACAATTCTCAAAAAAAATCCCCAAACAAACCCACTGATTGTGGATTTTATTTGCTTAAGTTTACAGAAGGAGAAATGGATGAATGTTCGAGTGGGAGACATCATCAAACTGGAGAATAATCAGTTTGTTGCTGTGAGTTAAATCCACAAACATTCAATAACTTCCAATTGGTTTTTCAGTTACATTCCCAAAACATTATTTGTTATATTTGCATAGATAAGCTTTACAAATAATTACATTTATTTTTTGGAATCTCATTTTCATCCTTTATATGAAGAATCACTGTGATAAGTTTTATTTAGATGATGGTTTTTGTTTTAAATAAGATTAATTTTGTTTCTTGAGAAGCATTTGCCTGTAAAACTGTTGAATTTAATAAATTTACCTCTGAGGTTTTTCACTTGCCAAAGTTTGTTGTTTTTACATGCAAAATTGGTTATTTTGTATGAAGTGAACAGGAATAATAAAATACAAACTACATAAATATATAAAAGGTGGTACGACTCATTTAAGAACATGTAAAAAATTATTTAAAGAACTAAGAAACCACAGAGTGAAATTATAAGTATCGGTTTTTTAAAAATAATTATATGTTTACAAAGTTCCAGTAAAATTTAAATTGTTCTAAAAATGTTGCAACATATTTGCATTGGGTATAGTACCTAAAAAATGTACTTAAAAGTAAAAGTAGCACTACTTCAACATGTTTCTACTCATGTAAAAGTAAAAAATAGCCATCCAAGAAATTACTCAAGTAAGAGTAAAAAGTATTTTGATAAAAATGTGACTCAAGTGTTTAGTAACTAATCAAATGAGCAACCATTTAATATTCAAAATGACATTAGTAAAGTAAAAAGCATAGCAGAAATACTCCTGAAAGTGAATTCTTTCTAAAAAGTTACTGTAAATGTGACTGATTTGGATTTTCTCGCAGGCCGATATCCTCCTGCTGTGCAGCAGCGAACCTTATGGCCTTTGCTATATTGAGACAGCAGAGCTGGACGGGTGAGCGCTGCACCAGTTATACAAAATATAATCAGAAAAAATAAATAATCCAAACTGAGCTGGACGGGCGTTTGTGTTTGTGAAGCGTAACTTACAATTTGCCATTTTCCAACAGGGAAACAAATCTGAAAGTCCGCCAGGCCTTGAGTGTGACCTCAGATTTGGGAGACGTTTCAAAACTGATGGACTTTGATGGTGAGATGCTGCAGAGTGTTTGTATTTGCCCGGTTGATGCACACCTGTTGGGATTAGGATTTTAAAAATGAGGGAAATTTGCGAGATCATTTCCTTTTGTTTTGTCGTTTCTCCTCAGGAGAAGTCATTTGTGAACCACCGAACAACAAGCTGGATAAATTTACAGGAACGTTACACTGGAGAGACAATAAATACTCTCTGGATAATGAAAATATGCTGCTGCGCGGTTGTGTTCTCAGAAACACTGAGTGGTGCTTCGGCATGGTTATATTTGCTGGTATTACTAATCAATATTTAATGATTTCAATCTCATTATCTCTGAGCTTTGTCTCAATATTTGTTGTTTATCAGCTTTTTATTTCTGCTTTTATCAGGGCTACAAACCAAGCTGATGCAGAATTGTGGACGGACTAAATTCAAACGGACCAGCATTGACAAACTTATGAACACACTAGTTTTATGGGTAAGAAGTTGCTTTTCTTTTTATAAAACATTTTTGTTTTGCAGCTTTATTTTTTGTGAGATTTTTGGTGGCATTGGCTCCAGATGAGTTTGAAATAAAAAAAAAAAAACAATTGAAATGCACTGTAAAACATTTGTAGGTGGTTTACGTTGAAAATGAAAGTCCACCTGCTACCTTGAAAATAAAATTTAAGTCAGCAAGAAAATTGTTTTGGTTTTAAATCAGAAATTGAAGTTTATGAAGTTGATTTAAGGACAAGAGACAAGTTACACCAACAGTTTCACCACACCTTCTCCTTATTGCAATATTGGATATCCTTTCAATCATATAAAGCAAATGATTGTTAATCTTCTTACCTTATAAAAAGTGTTTGCTGAAAATCCATGATTACACCGAGGGCTGACAGTCATTATTATTAACGGCTAATATTCATCCCTGCCGTATCTTTCTTTATTAAAAGTTGTAAAATGACAAGTTTGGTTTCCATCCTTGTTTGTTTATGCAGCCAACCAGTTTTTAAAGTGAAATCAACTAAATAAACGTGATATTATGGTATCGGTGACCTGTTTTTAGACCAGCTTTAAAGGACTGCATTGGTCGTTTTGATGTCCGTCATGGAAGAGTTCTGGAGAGCTTGACTTCATGTGCAAACGGTCAATACTGTTTTTTTTTTTCAGATTTTTGCCTTCCTCATCTGCATGGGGGTAATTTTGGCGATAGGAAACACCATCTGGGAGACATGTGTGGGCAGAAAGTTTGAGCTGTTCCTACCATGGGATGAGTTTCAGAGCAGCGCAGTTTTTTCTGGGTTCCTCACCTTCTGGTCCTACATCATCATCCTCAACACTGTTGTCCCTATTTCCCTGTATGTCAGGTAAAAACAAAGAGCCTCATTTCCTGTTAGATGCTATCATTTATCAGCTTATTCATGACATTTTGCAGAACATCAAACGTTTGTTCTCACACGTTCCTTCAGTGTGGAGGTCCTGCGGCTCGGTCACAGTTTCTTCATTAACTGGGACCGGAAGATGTACCACAACCAGAGCGACACGCCAGCCGAGGCTCGCACCACCACCCTGAACGAGGAGCTCGGACAGGTCGAGTTCATCTTTTCGGACAAGACCGGCACGCTGACGCAGAACATCATGGTGTTCAGCAAGTGCTCCATTAATGGGCAGTCGTACGGTATGAGTGAGGCTCTTTAATCTCGCCGTTAAATATAAAAACAAATGGTCATATCATTGAACGTAGACGTTAATATTTGTAAACATTGCAAAAACACTAAATTATACCAAGTATTTTTGGTCTTCTTTCTAGTTTCTAGTGTAAAAGTCTTACTTTACTGGAGATAAGACAAAACTAACTTAACTAAAGTAACATTTCAGAAAGAAATACGAGTTTTTTTTAAGTCAATGATTCCTTAATATTGATGAAAAAGATTAGTTGTAAGTGAAGTAATCACCCGGTGGAACAAGACATTTTAACTCATATTATGTGAAAATGTTGAGCTCCACTGGCAGATTATTTCACTTAAGTGCTTGGTAAGATTTTGTGTTTTTGCATCTGAACCACACATAGGGACTTACATTTATAAATACATATCTAGGCTTGTCACAGTAAATCAGTCAATGATCAATTAAATTAAACTCAATAATTTCCATTTGGATGACTTACTGTTTTTCTCTTTTCTCTCTTTCTTCCAAAAACTGGATGATACGTTTTCAGTTTGGTGTTTTGGTCTCAACTAGCTGTTTTTTTTAGAGACAATTTTATTTACAGAGACTTCATTCATTTTATTTGTTGTTTTTGTTGTTTATTTTGTAAATACAGTTTAGATTGTGTGAAATTAAACATATTTTGATTCCACTTTATTGTTCATTCAACAAACAATCAAGAACCTTTTCAGGCTTATTTGAAGATATTGTTTAAGTTTTGACAAGATGATGAAGTGTTTAAATGTTTCCTATATATTCTCAAGGTGATGTCTATGATGAATTCAACCAGAAGGTGGAAATTACAGAGGTATGTTAGATTTAACTCCCTTATGTTCATTTACTATTTATTTTAAAGTTATGTTGTTTCATAATTGCATATGAAAAAAATGGAACAGTCTTGTTAAAAAGCCTGTTTTAGTGGAAAAATAATTTTAGATCTTCAGGACAACTCAAGTAAAAAAAAATAAAACATTCAATAAAGAAATTTTCTATGGGGAGAAAATAGAAAATACATAAACAATTTTACTGCAGAAGTGTCCATTTAATTAAAATAGTAGTTTATTAAAGCTAAATCTTCTTGGATTGCAGTTTCTCATCATGGCACATCTTGACTTGGACTTATTTTCTCAGCTATTTTTGCCTAAATGATCCAAACCTGTGATATTGCAAGAACATTTCCTTTGCACAGCCTTCTTCTGACAGGGCCATCACAAAACATTAGCCTTTTTTTGTTGGGATTTTTTAAAGCCGCTTTGATTCAATGTCATGCTGAAAGATGAAGTTCTTCAAAAAACTGATGCCTCAAAAAATACAAAAGCTGCAACAGATACTGTAACAACAAAAAAAGGACAACAACTTCTGAGGCGGTATTTGTTTGTACTTTAAATCTATATGCTAAATTTAGCTCATTTGGTTCAATCTACATTAAGTCATGTAGATTTCAGACAATAACTGAAGCTTTGTTTGGTCATAAAATGCATTAACTGCTATAAACTATGGTCGACAAATAACTGCAGTTTAACTTACCCACCCGATGAGTGGGCACTGGTGACAAATCCACTCTTTTTATCAAGACGCCCACACTGTTCAGAAACACTATTTTCACAAACTAATGTGTCATCTGATGCTTCAAAATAATAATAAAAAAAAATTCTCTTGATGTGCAGAGTAATAGAATTATGATTTTCTGCTGTGCATAAAGGAAGTGATTCATCGTCCAGAAACAAAATATTTAGCTAAATTGTGGCAGCAGCTTTTCAGGCTTTTCTGAGGACTGCTAATTATATTTGGATATTTATCAATATATTTTTCTCAGTTCTAATATGTATTTATGTACATCAAAATACCAGCCTGCTACCTATTTTTTACAGCAGCACAAACATCCCCAACACTAATGTCGCTAATATTTCTAAAGTGTTTTTTAGTGCTCTCTGATCTAACTTTAGTTTGTCTAGAAAGTCCGGTTCGTTCGCGTAATCAAATCCTGATGCGGCCCAATTCTAATGCTTTAGGTGGGCCAAAGCAAACTTTGGTCCACCTAGAAACCTCTGTCTTGGTTCTGTGAAAGTGAACTCTGGTGCGGTTCGAATGTATAATGTGGACGCAAACCGACCGGAGACTGCTCCAAAAGCCCTGGACTGTAGCGCAGGGCATTCTGGGTAAATACAACCAAAAAAAAGCTCAAATCAAGGGAACAGGTTTTTCAAATTGGTTGATGCAGTGTGAAAGCACACTGCAGCAGCTGAAAATGCAACAAATGTTGCAATTTTGGCCCCAAATTGAGCCGAGCCTACCAGGCTACCAGGTGAAACACTTTAGTTTATGCTGTTGTTTCTCCAACAAATGTCACTTTTATTTCTGAAATAAATTGATGATAACCATCTGTATCCTCAGAAAACAGCGTGCGTAGACTTTTCCTTTAACCCGCTCTGCGACAAAACCTTCAAGTTTTACGACTGCAGCCTGGTTGAAGCCGTCAAACAGCAGGAATCTGCAGCACAGGACTTCTTCAGACTGCTGGCTCTGTGCCACACCGTCATGCCGGAGGAGAAGAGTGAAGGTAAAGCTACACACACCTGTCACAGTCACAGCTTTCAGGACGTGTTTCCTCTGATCATCGTTTCTGTTTAAATGAAGGGGATCTGGTGTACCAGGCACAGTCACCGGATGAAGGAGCGTTGGTAACTGCAGCTCGAAACTTTGGGTTTATCTTCCGGGCTCGAACTCCAGAAACCATCACGCTTTGTGAGATGGGAAGAGAGGCTACCTACGAGCTGCTGGCCATACTGGACTTCAACAACGTGCGCAAGAGAATGAGTGTCATTGGTTAGGTCTTTGCGTATAATAGCTCTAGTAGTCAACATGACTCCACTTTTCTTATTAGCAGACTGAAAGAAAATTGCTCACTTTTAGTCTCCTTTACTGCCTGCGACCTTTCGTCCACTTCACGTGTCAAATTCAAGACCCGGGCCAAATTTTGCCCACTTTGGACTCCAGAGAGACACATGAATAACTTACCTTTAACTTAACAGTTGTGTGCTTAAATACTGTATTATTGTATCGATCAACTTAAAGCAGTTTTTATCTGCCAAATTGTGTCAGTGTCTCCAGTTTTTTACGATTCCACGATCATAAAAAATCAAGAGATTCCCCCAAACGCAGGATGAGGCTTTACTGATGAACAGTGAGATTTTAACAGAAATAAAACGTTAGTTTCACAATAAAAGCTGTATGTACACACAAAAAACACATCCTTACAACCATAACATTCATATCATAAAAAAAGTAAAAATATCTGACATAATCTTAAAACTGCATGCTAGTGAAACAAATTCACAGTTTTAGACGTTCAATGGTAAAGACAAACTTGTTTACAACATAAACATACAATTTAATTTGTTTTATCAATAGATTTTGGTATAACCGGCCCTTTAAGAACATTCATGATCGTGATACGGCCTAAAATGAAAACGAGTTTGACCTTCCTGGTCTACTTATTTGTTATCTTCGCTTATGTTATTTTTTTAAAGCCCTTTTTTTTTTTTTTGCTTGGTTTGTTTTCTGATCCAGTGAGGAATCCCCAAGGTCAAATTAAACTATATTGCAAAGGAGCTGACACGATCATCTTTGACCACCTGGATCCGTCCAGCGAAGACCTCATGTACGCTACCTCAGAACACCTCAGTGTGAGTTTTACCTGAGCGATTCAAGGAGAACTATCATGCAGAATTAACATTTTGAATGTTTTTATGCTTCCATTTGGGTCTCTGTTGCCTCTAAAAACAGCAGTTGCACTTAATCAACACGCAGATGTTTTTTTTTAGGCAATAATTTAATATTTTTTTGGGATCTGGAAAATGAGCCATTTGAAAAACCCTCAGAATTTCAGCACCTAGCAACCCCAGCAGAATTCCACCTGTTACCTAGCAACGCGAGCTGAGCTCCAGCATGTTTGGTCAGCGGACTGTACTAGTGTATAGTGGCTGCTGGAAAAGAGAAGTATTTTACTGTTGACTTACCATTTGCTACATTCTTGTTGGTTGTGCAGGAGGCTCCACTTCTGCTTTTCAAAGATGTACAGTTGTTTAATTGTGCATCTGTCTGCTGCCATTTTCACATGAGAGTTTTTTATTTTAATTTATGTGTTTATTTCTTTGGTCTTATTAATTCTTTTAGCTATGACGACGTAGCATCATTTTAACATGCAGAAAAAATATTTATAAACCTGAAAAAGAAGCATCCAGAGGTTTATAGACTATGGATTATAATCTGACTCAACAGATTTAAGTGACAAAATGCATCTGTGTGCTTTGAGCACTCCTGCAGCAGCTGAACTAAACTGGATGGATCTATGTGGTTTTCCTTGAATATTTTTTTTTTACATTTACATGTATCCAGATTGTATTAGCATTTTGACTAAAGAACACAAAAAAGCAATCCTGCAGCTTTGATTGCTTTTAAAACTCAAATGTTCTGCTTGATTAGCTGGCTGATTTTCAAACTGTCTTTGACTCCAGAGCTGTTGATTGTGTTCGTTTCCTCACAGGAATTTGCAGGAGAAGGGCTTCGAACTCTAGCTCTTGCCTACAAAGACCTCAGCGAAGAATATTATCAGGTGTGGCAGAAGAAGCTTCACTACGTGAGCACTGTGCTTGAGAACCGTGAAGAGCAGCTGGCTGCTCTCTACGAGGAAATAGAACAAGACATGAAGGTAAAACTGCCGTCCTCTTTGTTTGCCCTATTGAAACGATGAATGTTACCCACCAGCTGTAGACTGACTTCTGACTCGGTTCAAGCTTCTTGGAGCCACAGCAATAGAGGACAAACTTCAAGAAGGAGTCCCAGAGACAATCGCTTGTCTGAATCTAGCCGACATCAAGATCTGGGTCCTAACAGGAGACAAGCTCGGTAGCTAACAACTGAATAAATCTGGATGATAAGTAGCTGCTAACATGCTGGAGAGTTTCTGATCTGTGAACTGTTGTTTTAGAGACGGCGATGAGCATCGGTTACTCCTGCAACATGCTGCGGGACGACATGAATGAGGTGTTTGTTATCTCTGGGCTCACGCAGCTGGAGGTGCAGCAGCAGCTCAGGTAAACGCACCACGTTCACGCAACAGGCTGGAAACCAAACAATAATAACCCCAAAGCAGGCTGGCTTTGTTTCCTGCTAAAATTAAACTTTCATCAGAACTGAAAAACTGTTTGATAATGAGTGATTTGTCAATCTTATATGAAGCACTCAGGGTCACAATGTTCAGGACGACTGAAAATCTACAACAGACTCTGCTTTGACTTTTTATTTTATATAGTGACGTAAATATACTATCCTGCAAAAACACAAAATCTTACCAAATATTTCTGGTCAAGTTTATAGTGTAGAACATAACTTACAAGCAGAGAGCATATTTTTTTATAGCCCTAACCCAAACAAGCAAGCATAGTCGGTCTTCCCTCTCTCCTTAGGAACGCTAAGGAGAACATCCTGGGCCTGAGCCGGGTGAGCAGCACAGGAGACGTCGAGAAAGGCGACGTGTTTGCAGAAGATTCGGTGTTTGAAGAAACGATTATTTCTGAGTATGCCGTGGTCATCAGTGGTCACAGTCTGGTGAGATGTTATCGAACTCTTACTTGCTTTTCATTTGGTTTTGAGCCCAGCAGCAGATGTTAAACCTTTAAACAGCAGAGATGGGTAGTAACTAGTTACATTTACTCAATTACATCTACTTGAGTAACTTTTTGAAAAAAAAAAAACTTTTTGGAGTACTTTTACTACTCTGTACTTGTTACTTCTAGTCAAGTAATTTTATTATGAAGCATTTCTACTCCTGATGTAAGATGTCTGTGTTTTCTACCCACTGAATGAAAAACATGTTTTAACCCAAAATTCACCAGAAACAGACACACACCTGCAGTTTTTATTAAAGTTTTATAAAATTTTATTTTGCCAGGTTTTGTTATGTTTTATTAATACCTAAATTTCCATGTAACTTTATATTTTGGTCCGTCTGATGATGTAATTTTTACAAATTAAATGATAATTTCATCTGATACTGAGGACCTGAGTTGCCCTTTTACCATTTTAGTTGAGTAACAACATGTAGTGCTTGTTTTTCTGCTGAATGTTGTGTTTCTCTTCACCTGCTGCTGACTAAATAAAGTCCAATTAGCAGAAAGCTGCTGGCCTGCTTTCTGCTAATCATTACGGGTTTTCATTGACATCCGTTTCCTTACCGCCTGCAGCCAGATGGGAAACGATCCACTGCTGCCTGAGCAGGGTGGTTTTTTCAGCGCCGCCGTGGGACGGTGTGTTAACCAGGTGTGATGTATGTGTTCGGCCCGCAGGCTCACGCGCTGGAGCCCCAGCTGGAGCACGCGCTGCTCGATCTGGCCTGTTTGTGCAAAACGGTCATCTGCTGTCGGGTCACGCCGATGCAGAAAGCTCAGGTGGTGGAGCTGGTGAGGAGGACCAAGATGGCCGTCACGCTGGCCGTGGGGGACGGCGCCAACGACGTCAGCATGATCAAAAGTGAGTAAAGGCCGGTGCCGATGGGATGTGGTTCAAAATTAAAACTTTTGTTTTTATCTTCTCTCTTTGTTTTCTGAAAAGATTAAGAATCTGACTTTAATCTCAGTTTTTTTTTTACTTTAATCTCTGAATTTTAAGCTTTGGAGGTAAAAAGTAAGAATTCTAACAAAACATTTTAGAAGTGAAATAATCAACCAGTGCAACTACTACTTTTTCATCAGTATGAAGGATTTATTTATTTAAAACAAGCTCCTATATCTTTCTAAAAAGTTACTAGTAAGTTACCGTATTGTGCCCTATATTGATACTAAAAACCAGCCCAAAATTACTTGGTAAGATTTTGTGTTTTTACAGTGTCTGATAATTCATTATTCAGATTTCACTAAAACCAAGCAAACTAATCAAACTATGAACCAACAGACAATTCATAAAACAATGTATTTGCTTTTAATAATAATTAGTGAAAATGTGGAAACATTTTATAACTTTAACATGTTGTAATCTCATTATGTAATCTATTACAACAGTTTTATTAAAAGCAGTCCTGCATTGTGTGGCCCCAGTTGTAGGCGTGAACTTTATAATCCTAAATATTATCTTTAATATGTGTGATTTTCCAGTGTTGGGTGACCCACATTATGCTTTTCTTGTGCTGCGTCAGCCGCCCACATCGGCGTAGGCATCAGCGGACAGGAGGGGATGCAAGCTGTTCTGGCCTCGGATTACTCCTTCGCTCAGTTTCGGTACCTGCAGAGGCTGCTGCTGGTGCACGGCCGCTGGTCCTACTTCCGAATGTGTAATTTCTTGGCCTACTTCTTCTACAAGAACTTTGCCTTCACCCTGGTCCATTTCTGGTACGGCTTCTTCTGTGGTTTCTCTGCACAGGTGAGAAAACTGTCGTTTACATTCAAATATATGACCAGTTTTATGTCAAAACATTTATTTCATCTACTTTTTCCCACAGACTGTGTACGACCAGTGGTTCATAACCCTCTTCAATATTGTTTATACATCGTTGCCAGTTCTGGCGATGGGACTTTTTGATCAGGTATTGTTAGAAAACATGGAATAAATAATAAACATAAACTGCCATGTGATAGTATCCCACTGTAATGGAAGATAAATTACAGTGGATGGCGTACAAATTGAAGATACTGTATATCTTAAGGCAGGGATGTCCAAATGTGGCCCGGGGGCCATTTGCGGCTCGCAGAACGATTCCGGTGCGGCCCTTAATCAGAACTCAACATTTAAAAACAACATTAGAGTGAAATTTTTATTGAATTTTCACAAACCATTCAAAACAGATACAATTAAATTCTTGAAATGGAAAATGTGAGGCGAAACTCAAAGAGTTTTGCTTTCAATTTAATTTCATTTGTTAATAACAGGGACCAAAACCATCTTGTGGATTGTACTAAAATGCAGAAACTTACCAAAATAAAGTTAGAGTGAACGACTGTTCGTCTTGCTGAAAATACCATCAACCTGGAAAATTAGGATATGGTTATCAGTTTTCTTTTTTTATTTGGAAAACCTGTAAAACTCTTTTTGTTTAGTTTGTTTAGAAAATACAAATTGCTAATTTAATTACCGGCAAAACATGTATAATTTAGCTGGTAAAAATACAAATGAAAAGGAGATTTTTTTCTTAATTTTTAATTAAAAAGAAAGATAACATAATTGAAATGTTCTGGTTCCCATAGTACTTGCAACTTGACATTTTTGGCCTCCATGCCAAAATATTTGGACACCCCTGGCTTAAGCTGTGTCTAGTTGGATTAAAAAATTATACACAGTCTGCCAACTTCCTAATTTTTCCAAAACTTTTGTCTTTTCAAGACACTGTCAGGCCATCCAGGTGAATATTGGGTTATGCTGCCCTGTTTTACTGTTTTAAATAACAACCCTCCGTGATATTTAAAAAATATATCCTCACCACAATAAATGTCACTAATCTGTTACTAATTATTGAACCCATATGCTACAACTAATACTAATTTACTCACAACAAACTGTTTGTCTTGCTAACCCTATAGATATTAGACTTTAATAACGAGGATCTGCTTAACTTATCTAATTACCAATGTATTTCTGCCAGGACGTTAACGACCAGAACAGCCTTCGCTACCCGAGCCTGTACAAACCGGGCCAACAGAACCTGCTCTTCAACAAACGCCAGTTCTTCCTCTGCACGCTACAAGGCATGGTGACGTCCTTCCTGCTTTTCTTTATTCCCTACGGAGCGTTCTCCGTCATGCTGAGGGACGACGGCTCAGACTTCTCCGACCAGCAGGCGTTTGCCGTCACCATAGCAACAACGTTGGTCATTGTTGTGAGTGTTCAGGTGAGTCTCTGAACAGACTGAACTGTTCTCACACATGTAATAATAACAACCAACACTGTACATTAAAGTGGATTTTGTACGTTTTTATACTTCCGTTTGGATTTCTACTTCTTCTAAAAATGACCCGAGTGATTACAAGAATCACGCTACAAGCGTGATTCTTGTACCAACCACACACTCATATTATTGCTTTTGAGCAATAATAAAAAATTTTTTTTTGTTGTCTGGAAAATCTGCCGCTTCAAAAGCATTCCAAAAGTTACTCTGCATATCAGCACCTAGCAACCCCAGCGAAGCCCAGCTCGTTACCTAGCAACCCCAGTGGAGTTCCGCCCGTCACCTAGCAACCCCAGTGGAGTTCCGCCCGTCACCTAGCAACCCCAGTGGAGTTCCGCCCGTCACCTAGCAACCCAAACAGAGTTCCGATCCAGTCCGTTTGGCAGCGCTGCTGCTGGAGAAGTTGGGCTCACCATCTCCAATAACTTCTTTGAAGAATTTTCCCTTTGGGATCAATAAAGCATTTTTAAATTATATTGAACTGAATCTGTCGGCAGCCATTTTCATGTGTGAGTGTAAACATTGAGTTGGCCAGAAGCAACTTATTTGGATTTAAAGTGACAAGAGGCCCGAAAACAGCTCAAGATAGACAAACTGAGCAGGCTAAAATCTCACTATTTAAGAGTGATTTTGTGCAAAAAATGTTTTTAGGGTTAGGGTAAATTTATCCTAACCTGTTAAATGTGTGATGTTTTTGTTATTAGATTGGACTGGATACACACTACTGGACAGCAGTCAATCATCTGTTTATGTGGGGCAGCCTGATCGTGTATTTTGCCATTCTCTTTGCAATGCAAAGTGACGGCCTGTTTGGCATCTTTCCAAGTAATTTCCCATTTATTGGTGAGTTTGGCTCAATATGATTTAAAAAAAAAGACTGGTTGGAAACAAAGCAGAAGGAATTTCCTATTGCTGTTTTTCCACAGGTACGGCGCGTAACTGTCTCTCTGAGAAGAATGTGTGGTTGGTCATCCTGCTCACCACTGTGGTGTGCATTTTGCCCGGCTTAGTCGTGAGCTTTCTGAGAGTCGACCTCTTCCCAACTATAACAGACAAGGTGCAGTAACAGTGAACAGAAATAAACCAGATTTAAATCAGTACTTTTTAAAATCAATATTAAGAAATTGTTTTCTTAAAACAATCTCATATATCTTGGGGAAATATTACCTGTAAGTTAGTTTTATCTTATTTCAAGTCTACTAAGATATTTCCACCAGTAAGTAGAGCAAAAATACTTAGTAAGATTTTTTTTAGTAGTGTAGACTCTTGTTTTGTCCAGTCAGTATATAAGATGCTGTAAAATCTGACAATCTTTGGGGAATTAAGAGATCGCTGGTTCGTCTTCACAGGTTCGTCATCTGCAGCAGTCCAGGAAGAAACAACGGCCTCAGGAACAGAACCTGAGGCGAGTCCGCCGGACAAGCTCTCGCCGCTCTGCCTACGCCTTCTCCCACCAGCAAGGCTACGGAGAGCTGATCACCTCAGGCAAAAACATGAGAGTGAGCACACTATCTTCCACTCGCTCCCTGGAAAGAATAGCGCAGAGCTCCAGCTGGATAGAAAATATACTGAAGAGGAAGAACGAAGTCTCAGCAGAACCAGCTGAGAGCCATAAAGCAGACAGGCTGAAGTAACACTAGAGGATTCAAGTGCCTAACCAGAGTATGAACACCCATTTTACATTGTTTTTCTAAAGGTTTTCCTGAAGTTGAGTTGAAAAAAATGTAGAAATGTTACCTGAAATGCCTAAAGTAAGCATATTTGTGTGTTTAACCACATACTATTACACTACAAAATTCAAGTGTGTTTGTTATGTATGCTTGTGTTTTTCCTAAATCCTATAAATTTGTTTCGTACCGTATTTTCCGGACTATAAGTCGCACCAGCCATAAAATACATAATAAAGCAGGAAAAGACATATATAAGACGCACCGGAGTACAATTAGCATTTTTTGGGGAAATTTATTTGATAAAATCCAACACCAAGAACAGACATGTCATATTTAAAGGCAATTTAAAATAAAAATAGAATAGAGGCAACAACAAGTTGAATAATTGTACGGTAACGTTACATGACAAACAGCAAACTGAGAATGTGCCTGGTATGTTAGCATACCATATTAAGAGTTATTCAGATAACTATAGCATAAATAACATGCTAACAAGTTTACCAAACCATCCGTGCCACTCCAAATCACTAAACGCAATAAAATCTTCATCTTCATTGTCACCCTATAAACAACTCTGCTAACTCCTGAGGTAGCTTCTACCACACACATTATCAACACAGGCCTAGAGCGCCCTCTTGCAGTTTAGTGTGAAAATAACATGTGATATGATATAATGATGTGTTAATAATTTCACACATAAGTCGCTCCAGAGTATAAGTCGCACCCCCGGCCAAACTATAAAAAAACTGCGACTTATAGTCTGTAAAATACGGTATTTTCTGGAGTATTTTGACGTGTTGTCTAAGGAACATTCTGACTGGATGAAAGCGATTTGTCTGGCAGTAGGGTTCATTTCCATAAGGATTTTGATTCTAGCTATTTGCAGTGAAAAAGTTATGACATTTTTGGCCTTCTTGGTGTTCCATACATGAGGAGCAGGAACGTCATAGTGGACCACATTTAGCAACCAGGTGTGAGACATGTACACACTCAACAGCGCCGGTCATTGCTTACACATGTAACCCTCCTTTGCCGGTCTCAGGTCCAGTAGGTTGACTTCACAACAGACACACTCAGGTTCACCGTATTTACTCTAACAAAAAAGAAAATAAAGTTGCAGGTTAACCTATTAGCAGCTTCTGACTCCATAGATAAAATTAAATTTAATAAAATAAATAGCCCTTAACAAACTAATGCTTCTCAATGAGGGCAGTTAACAGTAATAGAATTAAACACAAGCAAAATGCACATTAATTATGGTACTAGCAGTCAAAAAAAACATACAAAATATGGCAAAATTACACATGTGACTAAGTTAATCTACAATATGTGTTAATATTGAATACTTACACAGAGAAAAAATACCATAGTTGCAAAATGGCAGCAGAAAAAAAGGGGACAAACTATGGTGACCACATCACTCTTATTGGGTCTGGACTTAAAGTTATATCATAATATTATGTGAGACTATTCCAATAATGATAAAAGTGATCATAAAAACTCCTTCTTAGTTATTTCTTATATAACTGTAGCACAATGACCTCATGGCAGAGCAATTATAGCGCCACAAATGCAAATAATGCTCTTGAAAAACAATAAAGGAGTGTGTATCACTGTAACTGCATTTAATCATGTATTTAACTTTATTGATATTTACTGATATTATAATTTAACAAACAGTGGAGAAAACAGTAAAAATAATAATCTGAAACAGTTCTGAGAGATTTTAAACATCATTACCTGGAATGTGATAATAAATCAACTATAAATCAAAATTCTTATCATGAAAAAAAATATCACAATATATCATAAACGATACGATTATCTTTTTTTTCTTTTTGATGTTTGGGAGGCCTTGCTCTCACAACATATTAATTACGCATTAGTGAACTCTATTAACTAATTATGTAACTTCTGGATCAAATTAAAAGTGGGCACAATATTTTCTTGTTTCTCTTTCACATAAAATACATTTAAGTTTGTTGCTGTAATGTAAGAAAATGTGAAAAAGTCCAAAGGGTTCGAATACTTTATATTTGCATGGATCTGACAAACCAAGCACAAGCTGTGAGTGCTTTTTTTATATTATTTGGGTAAATCGAAGCTCAAACGATTACGAAGCATACCTCACTTTTTAATACTGTGAATCGTGTCAAGGGAAAGTCTGGAGGAATTTCTGGGTCCCTCCACAATCTGGAATTTGATTTTAGTATTTTCCACATTTGGACAAGAATAAAAAACAAAATAAAAAAAATTTTGCTTCCTTGTGTCCTGCCTTCTTTCTTCATTTTTTCAATCCATCCTTGGTTTGTTCCTGATTTGTTCTTTTAGTTCTTTGTTCCTGTTTTACCATATGTAGAAAAGTAAAAATAAAAAAATTCCAGCTCCTGAATATTAAAAATAAATTGTTTGGATTAGTTTGGTGAATTAAAAGCCCATAAAGCAAAACTCATCTTTGAGTTGAAAGACTTCAAGTTGGAGGTTTTCACAACTTGAAACTTTTGATTAAACTTTTTTCTATTTTATTTATCCTAAAAGTGCAGCAGAAATGTACACTCCACAAATGTAAAGTGTTTTAGAGTTTGGTTTTATTTTGGGTGGAAAGTCATTTGACATCATCTCCCAGATTAATTAAAATAAGAAAATCAAGAAAATACATGTCACACTCATAGATGGATATTTTGCCCCTATGTCACCATTTGTGGAAAAGTAAAAAAAAAAAAAAAAGAGCACCATAATTTTCAGCTGTTTAATTACAGTTTCCATTTGTTTTATTTTAGGTTTAGTGAATTAAACCATCCATGTTTTTATTTATATTTGTCCTTCAATTAAACTTGATTGGACATTACTTATTCCTTAATAAAGTGTACCAGTATTTTCTACACTACAAATACAGAGTTTATTTTACAGCTTGGTTTTATTTTTGGGTACAAAATCATCTGACATCATCTCCCAGATTAATTTTTAGAAAATCATGAGAAAATATCACAAAAGTTTATGTTTGGCCCTTATGTTCCCATCTGTAGAAAAGCAAAAAATAAAAAATAAAAATAAGATTAACATCCTAATTTACACCTACTGAATGTAAAATTACAGTTTGCATTTGTTTTAGATGATTTGTTTGTAAACATAAACAACATGATGATGTAATTCACTCCTCCAGTAGGACTGCAGCTCCGCCCGCCGGCTTCGTCACAAACAGACTTTGCCTCTCCATCGCCGCTCTGCGCGGCTCCGGCGTGTAGTAAGCGTCTCTGACGGCTCGGAGGAAAGACGCCGCCTTCTCGCTGGTAACCATTGAAACGGCACAGCCTCCCCAGCCCGCTCCGGTCAACCTGGAGCCAACGGCTCCCGACTTCCTGCAACCAGAACAAACGACGAAGCTTTCGGCGTCATTAAGTTTTATGAAAAATCAATGTGAGAGATACTTTGAGAGATATTGAGCTGAAAGAGGTTTTACTGAGTCAGTTGCTTGCAGTGGTAAAAGCTGAAATCAATAGCTGGATTAGTGTGTGTGTGTGTGTGTGTGTGTGTGTGTGTGTGTGTGTGTGTGTGTGTGCAGGTGTGCATGTGTGCAGGTGTGCGTGTGTGCAGGTGTGTGTGTGATAGCAAATGGATCATGCTAACTAAAACACAAGGCAGTAAAAATAAAAATGCACACTTACAATTTTTGTAAAAGGAACTAGTTAAACAGAAGTAACTCAGTAAATTTAAATAAAAAGTTTGTCTGTTTTTGTTCATAAAGTTAAAAAGAAAAACTGATATTGATTACAAAGTTTGACCACAAGGTGGCACTAGAGGTGTTCAGAGGAGTACAGTTGAAGGCGTTGATGTGTTGCCTAGTTTGCAGATTAATTTTTAGTAAGTCTTCATACTCCTAAATAATGCTAAGGACAAAATGTTTTAATGCTCTGTCCTACAACAGAGATAGAAAACTAAAGAATTCTGGCTATTTTTCCCTCAAAATTCAGATTTTAATCAGATAATTCTGACTTTTGAGCTCAGAAAATTAAAGTCAAAATTTTTAAATTTAAGTCAGAATTATTATTTTTTAAATAATCCACGTGTTGTCCCAAACCTCTACGCAATAAATCAGATGTGAAAAAACAAAAGTGTACGATTATTCAATATATATATTTAGAAGTCCATTAGATTCACATAGTTTTTGTTTTATGATCTAAAACTCCTAAAAATGTAACTTCATTTATCATCTATAGACATTATAACAGAATCAAATATTTTTCTGCAACTGAATTCATTCATTTTTATTTTCATCCAGTTCATTGTAATTTTCTTATTTAAAAATCTTTTTTTTGTGTGTTTTGTCGTCTCACTGCACTCACAGACAGATGTCCACCAGCCGGTCCAGTTCTGGGCAGCTGCACTCGTACAGGTCTCTGCAGCTCGCATGGCTCTGGTTCATCAGCTCTCCCAGCTGAGTTATGGATCCTGCAGCTCCAGCGTCGCAAACGCTCTTAAACCTCATCACGCGCTCGGCTTCACCGTACACATGCTTGGCTCGCTGGTGAAGCTTGAAGTTTGTTACTGAGAAACAAATAGACAAAAAAAACAACTTAAAATTAATCATTTTAAATGGTTTGATTTGGAAATTTTATGGTGTTAAATATAATTTTTCCAAATTTTTAATAAACTGAGATACTGTGTCATCTTGTGACTTAATTGTGGTTTAATATTGAAAATAGGGCTAGGCGATGTCATACTGAATTCAATTTACAATTTTAATAAAAATTTCTCAATGAAAAATCTTCAGAATCAGACAATTTGATTCATCATCATAGTAATCAAAATAATCGATTACTAAAATAATCACTAGCTGCAGTCCGAAATGGCTGATTGGATACTTGTTGCATCAAATGCACCAAAGATTTTATGACTAACTCGGGTGACTTCACTCCAGATTGTGCAGATGTGTTCAGTTACCCACCGTGCTGAGTGTTAGCGCTCAGCAGCTCTGTGCACATCTGCTCGGTGGTGACGCCCAGCACTTTACAGATCTCCTCACGGCTGTACGGCTCGGGATGCAGCACCTCGTCCACCAGGGCCAGCATCTCCTCCAGGGAGGCCTTCAGCTCCGTCTGAACCTGCTGGAGCTTCACCAACCTGCTGGGATCCAGACCTCGAGCCTGTGCCAACATCTGCGCCCAAACCGGAACACACTTAGTGTTATTGTTTAGGATACTACACACTTGTGTAAAAAAGGGATGTAAGCAATCAATCAAATAACTACTAGTTATTTATTAGATTATTATTTTTTCATTCGATGAACTTGTAACATCCACGTAGACATTCTTTCAGCGTTGCAGTTTAGCCACCATCCAGCATCCTTAAGCGGAGCCTTTAGTACAGAATTAAAGATGGCGGCCACCATCCCATAACTGGAAAGAAATTGGTTTAAAACAGAGTCTGATGTTGGATGCTAGATGCACTTTAAGCAGTTCTGTTTTGAAAAATAAACATCTGACAAGCTTCTTAAGTTGCCAATTCAATAACAGCGGTCATTCAGTCGATCTGCATGACGGACCAGCGTCAGCTTTTCAACCAATAATTAATGATTTGCTATGAAGCAATAGCTCAGAAAAATTGCAAAATGATGGCAAATGACATAATGACAATAAGCACGGTTTATTTTGAGGGCGTTTTAAGTGTAATAATGTGAGAAAAACACTTTTTTGTTAATGTAGCCAGCATTTAGCAAAGCTAACACAAAAAGTTAACATATAATAATGTGCTTCTTTTTTAAAAATGCAGCCCTTCGTGTTACGGAAAGACAGTCAGTCCAGTTGATACAAGAGTAGCTAATCGCTAATTGATAGATAAGGGCTAATTGATAGATAAGATCAGATTAACTCATTAATTGATAACTTGCATCCCTAGTAGTGTTCTGGATGTTCCCCTGCTTCAACACACCCCGTTCAGATGCTCAAGATCAACTGAAATCACGTGTGCCGAAGCAGGAAAATGCCTAAAACATGAGGACCAGGTTGAAAAAAACACTGTAAGATTACAAATTCAGGATGAAAGAATAAGTCACAATGCTTTTTCCAGCTTGTTGCAGCTTCAGATGCACCTTTGTTGCAATCCGGCATTCCACCACCCGGATGTTGTAGTGAGAAGAAGCAGCTTTGTTCATCTCAACGCAGCAGTTGGAGATGACGAACACGGCCCCGTCTGGGAGCTTGACATCGGTGGCCCTCAGAGGCTGGAACTCTATCAGCTTCGCCTGGTAAGTGGTTGAAATTCTGTCATTTCAATCAACATTAACCATCTTAAAGTGGAAACATTGCAGTAGTGGGAAAGAAAAGCTTCATACAGTTCCTTTCTCTGCCAGGAATGATATGGACTGGTCCATGCCTCCTCCCTCTGTCCCGATGTAGCGCTCACTTTTGGTACATATCTCAGCTAGATCCACCTGGAAGGCAGATTGCAGAGGACGAAAACAGGGTAAAGAAGCAATAAACGCATGAAATCTCCACAAAATACTTCTTCACATTGAGGAATGGAAAGGTCATAAAGGGGTCGCCTAAATTTGATGGCTCGTTTTCTTGGGTTTTTGTTCCCCACTTAAAATCTTTGAAATTCGGAATTTTTTTTAGCATTAAACTACAAACTTCGATATATTTTATTGGGAATTTGTTGGCAGGAACAACACAAAGAACTGGAAAATAAAACATAGTTAGACTTGTCACAATATCAAATTTTGCTGGCTGATAAATTGGCCCAGACGTTTTTGCGACGATAAATTATAATATTGTTGTTTTGAGGCCATTTTCAAACTCGCAATGAAGCAAGGTTTTTTTTCTTTTTCACCTTAGAAAGAGACTTCTGGTTTGCCTCCATTGTTAAGAGGCCAGAGCAGCAAACTAAGGCACTTGAACTGGACAGACCGGAACTGGGAGGAATGGTACCATCAACAACACAAGACATTCCAGCCAGACGACCGATCCCAAACTTCTCCTGGAGAAAATAAGATCAGATCAATATATAATACTGCAAGATAGTTAAAGAACAATCCATTTAATAACTACAGTTGAGAAAAGAAAGTTTACATAGAGTGAATAAATTTTCTTCTCACTGTCTGAAGTTGAATCTGACCAAACTTCCAGGTCAGTTAGAATTATCTAAATTATTTCTGTTCAATAAATAGAAAAAATACAAAATAGGGTAAAAAAAGATCCACTTAACCAGAAGTTTTCAAAGCCATGAAAGCATTACTGATCCTTTTCCTCATTGCATAAAAGAAATACCTGTTCTGTATGTAAAATTCTGGTTTTAGAAATAAATCTTACATATTATTTCTCTCATTATTGTGTCACTTAGCAAATAGAAATAATTTTACTAATTCAAACCGACCTAAAACAAAAGAAGTTTGTTTTAACTTCAGCCATTGAGAAAAATAGATGTATGCCTTTATTATTTCACTGTTTCGCTTTAAATCGTATTTATTTTA